GTTATTCAGATTCTTTTTGGTGTGCCCTCATAATTTGCGTGGATGAAATTTGGACACCCAATCTATAGGCTTCTGTAGAGCTGAACCTGCAGAGTTGATGTATGCGCATTAGGACGCTTCTATTAGAGCCTATGCCCGGCCTTTTCTCCTTTTACAATTTGTATCATGTTCAATATTAGCCACTATCGGGAGCGACCTTCAGTAATACCCACATACATTTATAACTGTCACTTTAGTGTTCGTTTTCTTCTATTTGTAGCTTACATTTTGCATCATTCCATTCTATTCCGTTTACCTTTCTTTCCTCTGTCATGTCTGTGTAGTTTTTCCTGAGGGTCGCTAACATTAGTGGATCATATCAGGCTAATGTTGCGCAATAATTTGCAACATGTAGCCTATTTGAATCATTATGGATCTCAGATCACACGTAGCAGGTTAAAGCTGGAGCCTGGGGCACGGTTCACAGACGACTGGACCGTTGTCACACAGTTCCATGATTAGTGAGAATTAGGGTAGATTTATAGGACTATTGTTCAACCATTATTGTACACTTTTTTCCACCTTCCAATATTTCATGATTTGAACTTAAATATGACATTTACATTTACATCATTTAGCAGACGCTCTTATCCAGAGCGACAACTTTCAGGATGAATCAAACATAATAATAATATAATAATATGCCATTTAGCAGACGCTTTTATCCAAAGCGACTTACAGTCATGTGTGCATACATTTTTACGTATGGGTGGTCCCGGGGATCGAATCCACTACCCTGGCGTTACAAGCGCCATGCTCTACCAATTGCGCTACAGAGGACCACCACTGTATTTTTTATGAATCAATATATTTTGTGCATAAAGGCTCTCCAAACCGGATTTTTTATGATTCATACATAATTTCCTAACCCTAAAATTTGCCTAAATAATCTAAAATATCAGAGTATTTTTTTTATCTACCAGTTGGTGCTGAAACAGAGACAAAGATGCATTGATGGCATTATTTCATTGATCCCTATATTCTGAACCCGTTCTCTCAACGTATTCTAGTCTGTCGACAAAATACAAATTAAAGGTACACCGTATTTAAGTGATAGCTTAAGATAAATGTACTGAAAATCCTATTGAATGAAAACTCCACAAGAAAATCTGTTGGCCAGCAAGTGGGAGGGTTTTCAGCAGTTGAATTACATTTATTCAGCATGCAATGGAACCATGCCTGGAAAGCGCGTCATGCACCTGCATAAGGTGTCTGAATACCAACTACTGAGAAGCACTTAGTAGTGGGGATGTTGATGTTATAGTTTCAATGAGCAAGGAAGAGGCAAAAAGCCTGATATGGACAGTGATGGTGCAGAGATGGCAGGAGCAGTGGAATAGAGATACTAAGGGCTGGCATTTATTTCAAGTACAGAGGAAAGTCAGGGAGGGGAGGAAGGCAGCAAGGGACAGAAGAGAGGAGGCTATTTTTACAAGATTAAGGGTGGGACACAGCCGGTTGAATAAGACTTTAAATGTGATAGGAAAGCATCCAACAGGAAAGTGTGATTATTGCCAGGAAACAGAGACCGTGGAGCATGTATTGCTACAGTGTGGCCAGTATCAGAGGGAAAGAGAGAGGATGAGATCTAGTATGAGGGAGAAGGGGATACAGGAAATTAGTTTAAATAGTATATTGAGTAGAACTTCATTAGATATAGTCTCAAATATGTTGTTATCTTTTTTAAGAGCAACGGGGCTGGCAGGTAGGATTTAGTTTCTCCCTGACACTGGCCCACACTCCAGTACAGTAGGTGGCGGTAATGCACCATAACGTTGGATCCCAACCGCCGATAAACCCCACCGAAGAAAACAACTATTGAGAAGTGCATAGGTAAGGCGTGCGTGAGAAAGGCATAATTGTGCTCTACACTTTCACACTTATGAGGATTTATTATCATCACAGGGCCTTCTTGATTCAACAGAGAGAACATTTAGTTGTTGGAGTAGATATTGTGGGTTGATAGTGATAATAATTCAAGTAAACTACACACATTGTCAGACTAGAACAGATAAATAAACAAAGAATGCCTTTACATCCCTTGCTTTGTGTTAACGGTCAGTGTGGGAGAGTACCTAGATACCCATCTTTTAGCAGGCTTGGCATTTCACATTTATTTTCCTACGCAACAACCAAATAAGTGGCGCAGGACGACGCGTTGAAATGATTTCCTGGTGTTTTATCGGAGCCGCTTGCTTTGTCAGTTCCAGTTCAAACGACTTGCCCTCGTGGGATCTAACTGAACACAGAGGGAGAGCGAGAAGTAGGCTAGTAATCTTCACGACATAAGACAGCGAAGTGATAGAAATCGCTCTTTGCCGAGAGAGTGGAGTGTACGCTTAATTACAGCGAAAGAGTACCCAGATGCGATCTTAACTTGCAACGGGCTATTTCATCGCCGGTTTCCTGCCTACCCCTCCTCCTAACCCCCTCCTGCTCTGATCACCCTCACTTGGCCCTGAAAACCCTGCCTGCTCCCACCAGGACCACAGTGCTGTGTTGTGTTCAGGCCTGGCACAGCCCAGCCTCTGTCTAGCCCAGAGAGATTACAGTAGGTCTGTAGTGAAGGGGTAGTAGTATGGTGGGGAGGGGAGGGGAGGGGATGGAGGCCTGTATAGGTGGGTTTGGGGATGAGAGGTGGGGAAGGGATGGAGGCCTGTAGAGGTGGGGGCGGGGGTGAGAGGTAGATCAATGATGTGCAAGGAGCCCTTTAGTGATGGGAAGGAAGAGGTGGATAAAATATGGGATTAGGGTTGAGGAGGATAGATAAGATATGGGATTAGGGCTGGGGATGGAGGGTTGCACAGGGGAGACTGGGGGTTGAGAGGTGGATTAGAGATGGGGAGGGAGCTGTGTGATGGAAATGGTTGGGTATTAAAGCTGGGGAGGTGGATAAGGGCTGAAATAGAGCCCTCTGTGGCCACCCAGGTCTGGGAGGATGGATGGCCTCTGTGGGGCTGTTTGACTGGAAACAGGTGTGTGTCATCTGAAAATGAAGGCCCGGCTGATAAACATTATTGGAGAACATCTGTTGCTTGTCATAACACGGGTCCAGGCCGAGCAGCCCCCCATCCATCAGCCAGGGGCTCGGTCTTGCGCTCGCGGCCCAGCTTGCACATCACTCACCCGGGGACGGAGGCGGCCGATGTGGGCTGCCTGGTCCACGCCTGGTCCAGACACCTGCCCGGCGGCGGATGCTGGAGACGCTCCACTGCACTTGAGAAATGCCTCGGACGGACGTCCCAGCCCCCCTCCTCCCCTCCACCTCTGCTACGCTCAGGTGCCCCAACCCCCATCCACCCACTTTCTGACAGGTATCGTACCAGATAACGGTCTGGCTCGTTGCGCGCCTCTTGACCTCCCTGGCTGATCTGCGGAGAGCCTGTGCTCCCTGGCCTCCAGTCCTCCATCACTGCTCTGTGACAGGCCATCTCGGACCCCCTCTACTCTCCTCCATCACCTACCCCCCCTCTCCTCTCCTCCATCTCCTACCCCCTCCTCTCCTCCATCTCCTCCATCTCTCCCGCTCTCCTCTCCTCCATCTCCTACCCCCTCTCCTCTCCTCCATCTCCTACCCCCTCTCCTCTCCTCCATCTCCTACCCCCTCTCCTCTCCTCCATCTCTCCTCTCCTCCATCTCCTACCCCCTCTCCTCCATCTCCTACCCACTCCACGCCCCACTGCCGAGCTCCCAGGCAGAGGACCCAATACCATGCTACACTGCTCCCAAATAAAATAGCCTCTCTCCTAAATGTGGTGATGCGATATTAGGGACAGAAATAACTGACAGATGTACCACATTTAGTCAAAAGAGAATTTGATCAAAATTCAAGATGTATCAAAAAAGCACAATTTACATAAAACCTGCCATCAGGCACATAGTACAGTACATGTTATGAGTGGTATGAATGACAATATCCTGAGGTACAGTTAAAATGCTTTGTAATATTCTAAAAATCCTTCTACATGAAAATATACTGATTACTTGGCTAAAACAATAGGTCATGTTGTCATTGAACTGATACACTTACAGTAACAGCAGTAATGTATGCACTCAATGACTAAAATGTAAATGTAATGAATTGATATGTGACTTTCCTGATCTGATAGTACAGTAAGTGATCTTATCAAACATACAACCAAAAGCAATTTCAAAATATATTAACACTTTATGACAAGCAATCAGGCACACACTGTCAAAGGAAACCAGTAAAATACAACACAAAATATTCTCACTGTATATGATATGAGAGTATGACAGAGTACCGTTCAATGGACTGACAATACCAGTGGACACTTTGGGAGTGATGGCTGTTGCTCCCATGTCAGTCTGACCATTGACTCTGAGGATAGGCCATGGGTAAGCAATATGAGGCTCCAGGCTTTTGTTCCAGCCCAGCTCTAACACACCTGATTCCACTAATCACCTAATCCTGGTCTTTGTGAAAAATGTGTGATAGTGATGGTCTGCACACACTGTACCCCTCCAGCACCGTAGTTGCCCACCCATGTACTAGACTGTACAAAGCTGCATGGTGGTGAGGACAGAGACGTTGTGAATGTACAGGAAGTGTTTGACCTGTGGTTAATGACATGTTAGAACAGTTTACTTGGGGCAGGGGTCCAGTCCTGAGACAATCAGGCAGGGAGCGTCATAGAGCTCAGGTGACATTTCCAATGTCCACCACCCAGCAGCACATCAATGTTCCAGCTCCTTGTGTAGCCTGCTCTCTCTCTAACTAAACCGGCATTCTGCACCTTTCTGCAGGCTCCCAAAAAGCCACTGCACATTTCTCAACCAAATGTGCAGAATACAGGTGTAGTCTTAAGAATATTTTACCTTGTGTGTCTGGTCCAGACCTGAATCACCTTCTGGCTGTATACCTCTGTCCAACTGTACACAGCCTTCCCATGACGTCCCACGACCCCTGATTTATTTATTTAGGGCACCTTGTTCAGTGTTCAGTGTTTGAGACGTCTGGCGGGGGTATTTGGGATGTGGGGCCTCCAGCGGAGCTCCGAGTGGGAGAGACCAGTCGGCCGCTTCAGGGAGGGAGAGAAGCCCAACGCTGGGACCTCTGCAGTCTCTAGTAGTCCTGAAAAGAAAGAAGAGACAGACAAAAAGACATTTGGCACCTTCTAGAAATCAAAAGCAAATGTTCTTCGGCGTTCGGGGAGTTGCTGGGGTGTTTGCTGCTCGATCTGTACGGTCTCCCGTGAGCTGGGCTTGTTGGGGAAACCGAGACAGCTTCAAGCCAGACACCCTGCTGGGTGTGGATTAAAATAACTGTCAGAGGCTGGAGTGGCTATTGAGGGAGACAGGGAGACACACAGAGCTGAAGGCATGAGCCTGACACACTTACCGACACACTACTTCATGAAAACCTGGTTCAGCTTTACAGCTCTGGTCCTTGGTGTCTGCTGTGATGGGCGGACCGTAACACTCACTCATCAGGGCGATGTGTGTGTGAGGTGTGTGTGTGTTTGCGTTTGTGTTTGCGTGCATGTGTGTGTGTGTGCACGCATGCGTGTGTGTTTGTGTTTGCATGCATGCATGTGCGTTCGTGCATGTATACAGTACCTTCTGTGCAGGTGGGGCCCAGCCAGGTAACAGGACACAGGCAGCGGCCATTACGAGCGTCACACTGGGCCTGATGGGAACACTGGCACTGCAGGGAGCAGCCCGGACCAAAACGATCTCCTCCACAGTCTGATGGACAGAAAGAGAGGAACGTGGCAGAAGATAGACATGAAGTAGACCGACACAACGAGGAAAAAATGGAGACAGCACACAAAAAATAAAATGGCAGATTAAATACAGTAAATGACAAGTTATTTTTCTATTAGGTAAAAGCATATAATACATACACAAACCATTACAAATCAATATGTAGCAGCCGGTGAAGGCTCGTAGTTTTAAAGGCATATCTAAGAGACAGTACTGTAAGAGATAGAGTGCTGTTGCAGTGTAGAGGTGGTCGTACCTTTTTCACATCTCTGTCCAGTCTTCCCTGGGGGGCAGAGACACTGTCCCGTGGCTGGATGACAGGGGGCCCCCCCAACACAGTCACATGACTGCTGACAGCCCTCCCCAAACCGGCCAGCCTCGCACCCTGGGACAGACACACACAGTGAGACACATACACACGCACACACACACACACACACGTGTGTACTATGTGTCTCATTTTATTTTCCCATGACAAACAGTACACACTCATCACTCTTCTCCTCCATAGCCCCCCCCCCCCCCCCCCCCACACACACACACACAGGTCTGTCTCTATTACTTTATTATAGAGGGTCAAACTATCTGGCTGCTGCTCTGCAGTGCTCAGTGCTCTCCTGCTGGGGCTGAAGTGGGCATGTAGGCCCTCACACTGAGCTGAGGAGCCCAGAGCAGGCAGGAGGCAGGAGGGAGGAGGCCACAGAGATGCAAAAGGAATGCATTAAACAGCCTGTCTCTGCTGTGGCAGCCAGGAAACACCTGCCTCTCATCAAATAACCACGTCTGCCTGCCTGCCTGTCTGTCTGCTCACGGAGATGTGCCAACATATGTTCGTATTCATACTGTATGTACTCTCCCTCTATCGTTTTCATAGACATGCACACACAGAGTGTGAATCAGATTGTGTGATCTCCACCTTCTCCTCTATCATCCAGTACTCACGTCTCTGACACTGGGAGCCATGGTAGCCAGGCGGACACACACACCGGCCCGTCACATGATCACATGTCTGTCTCGCCCGGCAGTCACACGGACGGGCACAGTTCTGTCCGAAGAAGCCAGAGGGACACCCTGGAGACAGGATGACAACACAGGAAAAAGCTTTGTTGTTAGTTTCTCATGCAAGAGCACAACCAATCATCACAATCAGGGGCATGTTCATTTGGCACCAAATGTTAGAAAACTGATTGAAACAAGGAGGGACTACCAATAAGAAACGCTCAATTTCCTTTTTTTTTGCCCACATGAACACAACCCACCTATTTCATTAGAAATATAGGGTCAGAAGTTTTTCCTGGACAGGTCACATGGTGAGGAAAAACTCCTTGCCCTAACCATAATTACAAAAATCCAACGTACGGTGTTCACAAGAGTGTCCGTAGTGTCCGACGGTGCAGCTGCAACAGCCAGTGAAGCGGTCACATGTCCCGTTGTTCTGGCAGGGACAGTCCAGTGCACAGTCCGGTCCGTACTTCCCCTGGACACACGCTGGACAAACAGACATATGGTAGAGACATACAGTAACAACAACACAACACTCACAACCAACATACCTTCTGTCTGTACTTGTACCACAGGCGGCTGGTGGCACCTTAATTGGGGAGGACGGGCTCATAGTAATGGCTGGAACTAAATTAATCAAATGGTTTCAAACACATAAAACATGTGGTTTCCATGTGTTTGATACCATTCCATTTACTCCATTCCAGACATTATTATGAGCCGTCCTCCCCTTAGCAGCCTCCTGTGACCTGTAACGGATACTGCACACGTTAATAGTGGAATTACCTCATATAAACATAGACACACACTGTAAGCCAGGGATATGGGAGGTTACTGTGCTCACAGTGACTGCTGGTAGCTACTATTCATAATAACACAAGTCTTCATTATTTTGTCATGGCTGTTGGGTCATCTAACATTGTTTCCATGTTGTAACAAAGAGAGTAACAAAACTAACTTCAACAAAGCAACTTCAAGAACAGGCAGACATGTTGAAAAATCCTCCTACAGGATAAACTAATGTAGTACTGAACCACAATTAAACTCAGCTGACCCTTTGCCCTGCCAGAAGCTACTTTTAACCTGACATTATACTGACGTTATCCTGATGTTGTGTTGATGTTATGCTGAGGTTACCTGTCTCACAGTGTGGTCCCGTCCAGCCCAGCCCACACCTGCAGCTCCCGTCCCTGGGCTCACACAGCGCTCCGTTCTGACACACACACGTGTTCCTGCACTGTAGGCCATAGCGCCCCCTAGGGCAGGCTGGAAGAACAGCAAGGCTTTAGATAGTAGTCATCATCATCACAGCACTACCAAAGCCAGCATTATGTGTAGTTCTGTTCTTTAGCTACCCAGCCAGCAGTGAGCCCACCACACAGTTAAACACACACACAAACACACACGTTTATTTAAGCAACAGGTAATTAGCGAGATGGCAAAGTGGTCTCATTTGGCAGCGATATAAAATAATAATCATGTTTCTCTGGGTAATTTAGATTTGGAAAACAATAAGCGAATCACTTTGATTCCCCTGTTTATTTATTTGTTTCCTCGCCAACGCCATCGACGCGGAACATGGAAAACGAGCTACTTATAGGTCTCTGTAAACGTTCAACACAGGAACATAAGCAGTGGCACGTCCATAGACGTATGGTGTGCACTAGGAGAGCAGCGCGCTTACGAACACCATCGTCTGGAATGGATGGAAACTCCCGTTTGCACTCCAGTGGAACTGCTGATAAACTGCGAGATTAGGGTTAACTCAAGAACCCTGCTTCTGTTCTCCAGGAAAATAAGAGCCTCTGATCATTGGTACGTTTTCACTGAGGAAATTGAGAATTTGTTAACTAAATACACATTGAAAGCTAATTTGGTTGGTTGGTTGGTTGGGTGGATTCCCAGTTGCCAATCAGACTCTGTGTTCTTGATGAGTTCATAGCATGCTACAAAAATGTACTGGTGCATGACAAACAGTGACGGACTGAGACCAAAAACGGGTCTTTACATCCTCAATGGCCCATAGACATAAGGTTCACCTATGAGGTAAAAGTCATTATTACCTTGCTGGCAGGCCTGCCCGATTTTGCCTGGGGCGCAGATACACCTCCCAGTCACAGGGTGGCACTGCCCTCCCTCCCCACAGGAACACAGACGGGCACAGTCCTTCCCATAGCGCCCCGCCGGACAACCTGGCAGTACGAAGAAAGAGATGAAAGCACCATTCAAATTATTTAAAAGTGCAGCATCTTTTCTTCCTCCCTTCCTTAAAGTAATCACTGATTAGGAATGACCCAACAAGTGAAAGCGGTGTGATGGAGCCCTTCTGTAAAATCATATCTAATCCCAACATCCTTCTGGCTGAGCCCTGTATATCTTTATTCTATATAGAAGACTGATTCATAGTCAGAAGATGACATCAAATACTGTTCATTTTCACCCATCACAGGTGTGTTGCAGACTTACAAGTGCTGCAGTCAGCTCCTAGAAAGCCAGGTGTGCACTCACAGGTCCCTGTTTTAGTGTCACAGCGACCACCATTGCTGCACTTACATCTGGCCTTGCAGTTTGGCCCATATGATCCCTCTCGACACACTGGGGTAGGGAGAGAGAGACAGAGACAGAGGCCGTTTTCACATTGAGGATAGCAAAGGGACATTTTCGAGAGGTTCTCAAGAGCTATCAATTCTCGAGAGTCAATACTGTTGTGTAAACTTGCGAAATTATCACGTCTTGAGTGCTTGCCCGACAGTTGCACCCCTCTGAGCAGGGCACTGTAAACAGAATTTTCTCGTTGAGCTCAACACAACACAACATACTACAGTATAAATGATAATAGCAGAGCAATGTTTTTGAAACAGCTGAAATGTATAGACATTATCCTTATATTTGAGACTTGCAGTAAATTGCAGTAACAGCCTGTTACATTCTGAAATTGTAGCAGTAGCTGCTGCCTGCCGGCTGCACTGAGCCACGTAAAACTACGGAAGCCCATTCCCCCCACCATTTTTTTATTATGTGCCATCTAGAATAAACATTTGACAACAATTCCCTATGTACAGTGCCTTCAGAAAGTATTCACACCCCTTGACTTTTTCCACATTTTGTTGTGTCACAGCCTGAATTTAAAATGGATTAAGTTGAAGAAAAAAAAATTCACTGGCCAACACACAATACCCCATAATGTCAAAGTGGATGGAATGAGTCAATAAGTATTCAACCCCTTTGTTATGGCAAGCCTAAATAAGTTCAGGAGTAAACATTGCCTTAACCCTTTGAGCATGGTAAAGTTATTAATTAAACTTTTGATGGAGTATAAATATACCCAGCCACTACAAAGATATAGGTGTTCTTCCTAACTCAGTTGCTGGAGAGGAAGGAACCGGTCAGGGATTTCACCATGAGGCCAATGGTGACTTTAAAACAGTTACAGAGTTTCATGGCTGTGATAGGAGAAAACCGAGGATGGATCAACAACATTGTAGTTACTCCACAATACTAACCTAAATGACAGAGTGAAAAGAAGGAAGCCTGTACAGAATAACAATTATCCAAAATATGCATCATGTTTGCAATTAGGCACTAAATTAAAACTGCAAAACATGTTCAGCCTGCATTCCAACAGACATTGGGAGACAAATTCACCTTTCAGCAGGACAATAACCTAAAACACAAGGCCAAATATACACTGGAGATGCTTACCAAGACGACATTGAATGTTCCTGAGTGGCCTAGTTACAGTTTTGACTTATATCGGCTTGAAAATGTATGGCAAGACTTGAAAATGGCTGGCTATTGAATTGAATTGAATTTATTTAGGGTAACAGACATATACAACAAAATGTACAATGTGGACCCAGAGGATATCACTTAAAAGTATTAATTAAAACGCTTGTTTCCAAAGTGGTCCTCGATGGTAAAAACAATAACACATATAATGATTTAAAGGCAAAACAAAATTACAAACAACCATACATACATTCATTTATATTGACATCCTAAAAAGTGGCATTATTCACTGCACTTTTCCCTAACCTTAAAAATCAACCATATTAATTTCACATTTCGACCTTAAAAAACAATCTATTCATTGCACGTCATACCTATCATTCAAATAAATACACCTGACCAGCAGTAAGGGGCATAAGGGGCAGTAGAGTGGTTTCTCTTACTTAGACAACCTTGTCCAAATGAAAACCTTTGCCTGCTTTTTAAAGCTATTTCTACTTTTTCTTTGCTTGATCTCCAAGGGGAGGCTATTCCATAGACAAATACCTGTATAGAAAAACGTGCTCCTCGCAATACTGTTTACTCTTGGGATATTACGAGACATAACACCTGCTCTGGTATTGTAACTGTGTTGGATATAAACCATATCAATGTGGTTTTTCATATAACCTGGGGCATGATCATTTAAGATGTCAAACATATGATGAAGTTTAAGTTGGTCCACTCTGGACTCCAAAGGCAACAAGCCTCCCGGAACTCCTGTACCCCTATGTGGGTCCTAGGAGGGACATTCAGCATATACCTGATAACATTATTTTGCATGACCTGCATTCTCTTTTTCAGCTTTTTTGATAGCCCGCTATACCAAGCAGAGCAGGCATAATCAAAAATGACACTGAATCAAGGTTGAGACAAGCAGTTTCTTAACTTTGATGTTAAAATATCAAGTGTTACGATGTAAAAATGTCAATTTGTTCGCCATTTTAGAAAGAGTTTTAGCAGCAATCAAGTCTCCAGAAAGGGATTGATCTAGGGACACACCAAGATAAGTTACACTTGTTTTAAAGTCAATCTCCTTGCCTGCAAAGTTTACCTTTATCGTTTTGTTCCAAACAAAATTGATTCAGTTTTTCCCAAATGTAGCGACAATTTGTTGTCAGTCAACCAATCTATGACAAAATGCAATTCCTTAATCAGGGTCTCCTCTATGTAAACTGTGTCCTTCCCTGATACCAGTATGGCTGAGTCATCAGGATAAAGCAGGAGTTTGCGCTTTACTGTATCTGGCATATCATTAACGTATATAAGAAATAAGAGAGGCCCTAAAATGTATCCCTGCGGTACTCCACAGGATATTTATTTGGCCTCTGACAGAGCATCACCAACATTACATATTTGTGTTCTGTTGGTCAGATAAGACCTAAACCAATTCACTGCTACATCATTTAGACCCATGCATTTCAGTTTCATCAGGAGAATATCATGGTCCACAGTGTCAAAAGCTTTCTGCAAGTCTAACATGACCATACCTGTATAGTTCCCCTTCTCACTTTCCTGCTTGATGTGGTCAAAAAGGTGGATAAGGCAAGTATCAGTGGAATGAGCTGTTCTAAAGCCAGATTGGAGTTCATAAAGAAGTTTGTGCTCGAGAAGGTATCCTTCAAGTTGATTCAATACTAATCTTTCAACAACTTTGGATAAGGTGCTGAGGATCAACACAGGCCTGTAGTTTCCTACATTTGTTTTACCGCTCTTCTTGTGGAGCGGAACCACCCTGGCTGTTTTGAGATCATTGGGAAATGTACCACTACTAATAGAAAGGTTTACAATATGCGTTATCATTTTAGCAGTGACACAAGCACTATCCTTTATGAATCTTGCAGGAAAGGTTATCCAGCCCAGTTGCTTTGTTTGTGCTCATTAAGCATAGTAGAAAACTTTGTCCTCTGTTACCATGCACAGCTCAAACAAATCATTTGTGATACCTTTGCTATGGTAAAAGTTGTTAATGAAAGACTGGCCATAGTGTCCAGAGCAGGTCGGTAACTTCTTAACCAGAGATGAGGTTATAGTGGTAAAAAATGTGGTAAAATAATTTGCAACCTTTGCCTGGTCATAGCATAAAACATCATCAATATCCAGGCCAATACTACAGGATTTTACCTTATGGGATTTTTTGAGCCATTGTCCTTTAAAATGTTCCACAGTTTACAAGGCTGATGTAAGTTGTCATTAACAGATTCTATGTAATGTTGGAATTTGGCCTTATCCATTTTGTATCTTGCCTGGTTTCTACAGTTAATATAACCATCATAATCTTGTTGTAGATTTGTCCTTTTGAATTTGTCCAGGAAGCGATCCCTTTTCCTTATAAGGTCTAAGATCTCAGAAGTAATCAATTTTCCTGACCGCTGTTTGATTCGAATTTGTTTAATCGGAGCCAGAGAGTCAAGTGCAGACAGAAACCAAGCTTGATCAGCATCATCACAGTTTAGTACATGAGACCAAATTTCCAAGCACTTCTACAAAACGTTCCTTTGAGTATTGTTTCATAGGCTGTATATTCATGTAGGTATTACATGGCTCAAGTAGCATTTTGGATTTCTTACGGGTTCAGTAGGTTACCATATGATCACTAAAACCAATATTTAAGACTCCTGACTGACAGACGTTCTCGTGGTCTGATACAATAATCAAATCCAAAGTTGATTTACTGTCAATACACACCCGGGTTGGCTCAACAACCAGTTGTTTCAGTCGGCGGAATACATTCCTTATCAGCAAATACATTGTGATCACAGCAATTCGATTCAAGTAAATCATATAAATTATTCTGATTAGGAGGCCAATAGCACACACCAACAAGTATAGGACGACATTTAGGAAGAAGTATATCTACCCATGCAACCTCAAGTCCATCCATTTTCAGATCTGAACAAGGGTTAAAATGCATATCATTCCTAGTAAAAACACACAAGCAGCCACCGTTTCGGTTTCGGTCAATTCTATGAATGCTATAACCCGGTAGCTCAACCTCATTGTCCTCAATTGACCCATCGAGCCATGTCTCAGTCACAGCAACTACTGCAGCTCGAGTGTTAGAAAGCGAGGAGTTTTAATTCCTCTAATTTCGGCAGCAGGCTCCGTGAGTTCACATGGATAAAGTGAAGTCCTCTCCGATTGAAACAGTCAAACATGTTATTTTCTGTGCCCACTGCTGACACATCGACTATCTCATCTAGATTGCACTCATCATCCCGGCTTGTGTCCAGCATCCCAATGTTTGGCACTGCGTTTAAACAGCATACATTGCAAACAAGCGAAATGAGCAATGATCAACAACCAAATTGACAGAGCTTGAAGAATTTTTAAAAGAATAATGTGCAAATATTGTACAATCCAGGTGTGCAAAGCGTTTAGACTTACCCAGAAAGACTCACAGCTGTAATCACTGGCAAATGTGATTCTAACATGTATTGACTCAGGGGTTGAATACCTATGTAATCAAGATGTATTAGTGTTTTATTTTCATAATCTTTTTTTAAATGTTAGAATTTTTCTTCCACTTTGACATTACAGAGTATTTTGTGGAGATCGTTTGAATACTTTCTGAAGGCACTGTATGTTTTTATTGATTGCTACACTAAGGGATGGTAGATTTCATGCTAACATCATGCTTTCATTTGTGTTTGGAGCTCATTATCAGTTTATAAATTATAATGTTAGCAAGCTAAATGTCCCTTACCTTGAGCTAAGAGCTTGTGGGGCATCTAAGCCCTCATTGGGCATTTAAGCTCTGAACAATGCCTGACAGGCAGCTCTGTCTCCCAGGCTGTGTGCCACCCCAAGACCACAGCCAATCGCATGCAAGCAACAATGCAGATAACTTGACTAGTCTTGCGAGTGAGCTAGCTAGCTAGTTAGCTTGGTAGTCTTGTTAGCTTTAATCGCACCTTGTAACACAACAAAATGTGGAGAAAGTCAAGGGGTGTAAATACTTTCTGAAGGCACTGTATACGTCTGGAGATTATGTCTAAGGATAACCACACAAAATGTGGTGAATGAAGATGCTTCTGAAGCTAAGAAAAATGTGTTGGCTAGTGGGAAGAGTCTGATTTTCGGGAAATGGCAGTTAAAGACAAGGACATTCACTTTTAAATACCAATTTAGACCCAATCACCATCTCTTCAAGGTAAGTTACTGCATATTGTCCAGTTTGTAACATTCTTTATGAAATGGGCTTTTAAATTATGTGTATTTCAATGTAGTTGGTATGATAAACTAACAAAAATATACATTTGTATCAACTTTTGGACATTTTAATTTGTACTTTGTGAAAATATTAATATTAATGGATCAAAATACAAAATAATCACAAATCAGAGTTTACGGTTACCACAACCATAAATGAACCCGGCCCATTTTTAGCCTGTCCTGCATGGAGAAACGGAGAGGGAGAGAGGAGAGAGAGAGAAATTGAGAAAGAGACAGACACAGACAGACAGTACACTTATTCAAAGTCAGTCTTTGCGTAGTGCACTGCGATTCCATTGTTGAAACCATAGAATCATTTAAAACAAAAATCTGTTCACAGCAGCAGACTACCCAATAGTCACTACTTACTGAGTTCACAACGGTGGCCGTAGTAACCAGGTAGACAGGCACACCTTCCAGTGACAGGGTGACACTGCTCATGGTCCCCAGAACACTGGCACATCTGGCTACAATAAAGTCCGAACACACCTGATGGACACGCTGCAGGAGACACAAGCATGTACAATAAGGACTGGAGAAGATGGGCATAGATGCACGCACGCACACACTAAAACACTCAACATTATCTGGATTACATTGCAACATGGTGTGTGTATGCTTGTACATGGATTTCCAAACCCAATCTCTATGCAGACATAATATAATGTAAGCACTCACTCACATTCAAATACCCATTCACACTCAGACAATGCAGTAGTTCACAGACACTCAGATACTCACACAAGGGAAGATAAATCTATGAAACAAACATGTTTTTTCTCTCCCTCCCTCTCTCTCTCTCTCGGCTGAAACCACAGCACTTACTGATGCAGCGTGTAGGACAGATAAGAAACGACTCCAGACTAAAGAGGCAATTACAGCGCTGTCATTATGCATGTATGCCTTCCAAAAGCCCTTATCCACCCAGGAAACAAAAACAATGTCTCCTGTTTTACTTGGCAACCTGATTGTAACGTTTATCAGATGTCTGCTGAGTGTGTGAGGGAAAGAAGGGAGTGGGGGAGAGGAGCGGGGGGATGGTGTGTGTGTGTGTGAGCATGTGTGTGTTTAAAGAGATGGTGGTAAGTGGTAGAGATGTGCTCTTACTCTCCTCACAGCCATTCCCAGTGAGACCAGCAGGGCAGCCACATGTCCCAGTAATGTGGTGGCAGGGCACCCCAGACTGACACTGGCACTGCTGGGCACAGGAAGCACCGTAGACCCCAGGCAGGCAGGCTGGGGCACATCAGACACACATTAATCACTAACTAAGGAATATTCACTTTAAACAGTGACAATTGTTGTTGTGTGTACAACTTTCTTGTTTAAATAAAGATGAACCCTCCTTATAATGACAATTCATGATTTAACCGCAAAGTGAATGTATCTATCTTAGTCCCAGGTATGTATTCAAATAAAACATGGATGGATTTTCAAAATGAATGTCAGTTTTTTTATACAGTAATTGACCTCTCATAGTATAAATTAAGTATGCATGATTTGATCATGTCTTTTTTCCAAAGTGGCCCTTTCCGGCCCCTGTCAAGTCACACTCACGTTTGTCGCATCGGGCCCCTCTCCATCCTGGGTGACATTCACACCTGCCCGTCACGTGGTGGCAGCTTGTCCCGTGGTCACACTGACACCTCTGCTCACACCCTTCTCCATGGAGACCGTCTGGGCAGGCTGCAGCACAGACACATGGGTGGTGTTCAGTAGGGCACAACGTAGCAATACGTTTTAGAAACGGTCTGAAAACGAAAATCTGTGTTCTTATTGGACAAGTACAGGTAGGACTTTCCCATTTAATTATATTTCAAAACGTTTTCTCCCTTCAGAACATGACCCAACTGCTCTCTCCTTAAAGACAGAAACGTGAAAGGAGGAGGAAAGACTCATTTGGGTATATCTCAATAGTCATTAGTGGCTTTCTTTCCTCAACTCCTTTCCTTCATCAGCACTGATCTAAAAGAACAGGGTAGCAGAAAGCATATCTCTACATTGGCTTCTGACAGATTGCTTTCACCTATCCAAACAGATGAGGTAGGAACCCAGTCTAAACTATTGGGATGCACCCCTTGCATTTGGAAGCAGTGATGTCACAGGTCACCTGTCTGACAGTGCTCTCCAGTCCAGCCAGGGGGACAGCTACACCCCCCAGTCACTCTGTCACACGCCCCTCCGTTCTGACAGCTGCAGGTTTGTGTGCACCCCTCTCCATAGTGCCCCTCCCCACAGTCTAGGAGAGGCAGAGAACAGAGGCCTCAGATCACACAATAAATCCACCACACAATGAGCTGAATCCTAACCAGGAATCCATGTTCCTGACTCTGGCTTTCTAGTAAATCATGCAATGATGTCAATGGGAGTTTTGCACAATAATTCAATCCCAGGTTAGATTTGGACCAAGGTGAGTACAGCTATGAACGCCCTCACTCCTGTGGTTGATTTGACCTACAGGGACAGAGGGGGGACTCACCCAGCTCGCAGGCTGCTCCGGTCCACCCTCTGGGGCAGGAACACTGGCCAGTCACCCTGTCACAAAAGCCTCCATGCTGGCACAGACACAGCTGGGAACAGTCCTCTCCATACCTCCCAGCAGAACAGGCTGAACACAGTAACACACACACACACACAAGTTTAATAAGAGGATGTCATTGTTCAATACAATTCAGACAGATAGAAATTACGATTTGGATTCAGTTAGGCTGCACTGACTTTATGTTCTAAAACTTACACAGACCAAACACACATACAATAAACCATGTATTTCAGTGGCGGTCAGTGCCGTTTCAGATGAGGGAGGACAATTTTTTTTTTCATGAGCATGGCCTTACTTCTATTACAGCATTATGGATTCATATTCCATTCACTCAGTTCAATGTAATAGCGATAGGTTTAGAATACTACATGATACTAGAATTTTCCCTATACCCATCATGAGGTTGCTACAACCTAGCCTATGAATGAAAGTTTACAATGTAGGTGCACACAGGTCGAGAGACAAATTTGATGTGACAGACAGTGACACATGGACAGACAGTGACATTCAATACCGCCTTGCACACTCTTGCCTGCATCTAGCTGATATTGGGTGTAATCATTAGTCCAACAGTTGCAAACAAGAGTTTCTATTGGACAAATGCAGGTATGTTTATCCCCGTTTTGTTCCGTTTGCCTCTGTTTAAGAAATGTTTTTCAACAGAATTGGCGGAATGAATACACCCCTGATCACACGTAAACACAGTTCACAGTTTCATAGCAGCCACGTTGTATTCCTTCTCACATCTACATTATGTGCTCTCCTCCTTTCACCTCTTCCCTTCGCTTGCGGACTTCAATGCAAAACACATCAGCTGTTTGTGACCAGGCGAAAAAACCTTTTCCAAGCCAAACCGCTACATACAGCCTACATCATGTGTAGCTAAAGTAACGTCATAGTCAGCATAGCTAATAGAACTAACGCGTTAGTAAACCAGCTACAATCATGCAGTAACGTTACAGTGTACAGTCAGTAAGCAGTTACACCAGCGGGCCCCTATGGCAATAAATTAGTCAAACCAAAAGCTTACCTTGACTTGGAAGAGTTCCAGTGTTGTGTTGGATAGTCATAGCCAGCTGGCTAACATAGCATCCCTCTGTTTGAGTAGGGTGTTTGAGTAGGCTAAACTAGCTAGCTGCATTTGATAGCTAATTAAGTGAAACTGAAAGTGAAAGAAAACTAAATCGTTCTCTCTCTATTTCTCTCTTGCTTCTCCTTCATTTAGGAAGAAATTCATTTGTTCAAAACTGTTCAACTATTTTCATTTTCTCTCTTTGAGTCAACTACTCACCACATTTTATGCACTGCAGTTCTAGCTAGCTGTAGCTTATGCTTTAGTATGGTTTTATCTAAAAAGGATAACTTTTTTAATGTTGTAAAACATTTATTTTTATGAAATTCACTGAGGAGGATGGTCCTCCCCTTCCTCCTCTGAGGACCCTCCACTGGTGTATTCATACACTCACAGACTGTTGTGATATTTCATCATAATTTGAATAAATCAAAATAATCACCCATCATTTGCTGTTTTAGGGATTTTTTTACGTACAGTGGGGAAAAAAAGTATTTAGTCAGCCACCAATTGTGCAAGTTCTCCCACTTAAAAAGATGAGAGAGGCCTGTAATTTTCATCATAGGTACACGTCAACTATGACAGACAAAATGAGATTTTTTTTCTCCAGAAAATCACATTGTAGGATTTTTCATGAATTTATTTGCAAATTATGGTGGAAAATAAGTATTTGGTCAATAACAAAAGTTTCTCAATACTTTGTTATATACCCTTTGTTGGCAATGACACAGGTCAAACGTTTTCTGTAAGTCTTCACCAGGTTTTCACACACTGTTGCTGGTATTTTGGCCCATTCCTCCATGCAGATCTCCTCTAGAGCAGTGATGTTTTGGGGCTGTCGCTGGGCAACACGGACTTTCAACTCCCTCCAAAGATTTTCTATGGGGTTGAGATCTGGAGACTGGCTAGGCCACACCAGGACCTTGAAATGCTTCTTACGAAGCCACTCCTTCGTTGCCCGGGCGGTGTGTTTGGGATCATTGTCATGCTGAAAGACCCAGCCACGTTTCATCTTCAATGCCCTTGCTGATGGAAGGAGGTTTTCACTCAAACTCTCACGATACATGGCCCCATTCATTCTTTCCTTTACACGGATCAGTCGTCCTGGTCCCTTTGCAGAAAAACAGCCCCAAAGCATGATGTTTCCACCCCCATGCTTCACAGTAGGTATGGTGTTCTTTGGATGCAACTCAGCATTCTTTGTCCTCCAAACACGACGAGTTTAGTTTTTACCAAAAAGTTATATTTTGGTTTCATCTGACCATATGACATTCTTCCAATCCTCTTCTGGATCATCCAAATGCACTCTAGCAAACTTCAGACAGGCCTGGACATGTACTGGCTTAAGCAGGGGGACACGTCTGGCACTGCAGGATTTGAGTCCCTGGCGGCGTAGTGTGTTACTGATGGTAGGCTTTGTTACTTTGGTCCCAGCTCTCTGCAGGTCATTCACTAGGTCCCCCCGTGTGGTTTTGGGATTTTTGCTCACCGTTCTTGTGATCATTTTGACCCCACGGGGTGAGATCTTGCGTGGAGCCCCAGATCGAGGGAGATTATCAGTGGTCTTGTATGTCTTCCATTTCCTAATAATTGCTCCCACAGTTGATTTCTTCAAACCAAGCTGCTTACCTATTGCAGATTCAGTCTTCCCAGCCTGGTGCAGGTCTACAATTTTGTTTCTGGTGTCCTTTGACAGCTCTTTGGTCTTGGCCATAGTGGAGTTTTGTCACGATCGTCTACGAAATGAGTGGACCAAGGCGCAGCGTGCGATACGAACATGACTTTAATTGGTAAAGTACACGAAACAAAACAAAACACGATCGTAAAGTCCACAGTGACAATGACTGACAAGGAACAAAAACCCACAACCCTAAGGTGAACACTGACAGTTTAAATATGGCTCCCAATCAGAGATAACGAGCCGACAGCTGACACTCGTTACCACTGATTGGGAGTCACACGACCAAACAAGGAAACAACCAAAATACAACACAACCAATACCAACCACAACCAAATGAACACACCCTGGCTCAAAATACACAGTCCCGGAGCCAGAGCGTGACAAGTTTGGAGTGTGACTGTTTGAGGTTGTGGACAGGTGTCTTTTATACTGATAACAAGTTCAAACAGGTGCCATTAATACAGGTAACGAGTGGAGGACAGAGGAGCCTCTTAAAGAAGAAGTTACAGGTCTGAGAGAGCCAGAAATCTTGCTTGTTTGTAGGTGACCAAATACTTATTTTCCACCATAATTTGCAAATTAATTCATTACAAATCCTACAATGTGATTTTCTGGATTTCTTTTTCTCATTTTGTCTGTCATAGTTGACGTGTACCTATGATGAAAATTACAGGCCTCTCTCATCTTTTTAAGTGGGAGAACTTGCACAATTGGTGGCTGACTAAATACTTTTTTCCCCCACTGTAAAGATATTCTGGTAGAAGAGAGATTTCAGTTCCATGCAGAGCTCCTGATGTGTTAGGTTAATGTTAGGTTAAGGTTAGGTTAATGTTAGTTTAAGGTTTGTTTAATGTCAGACTGGGCCATATACTAGGTTGACCGATGAGCCACTCACCCTCTTGGCAGCTGGCTCCGGTCCATCCGGCTCCACAGCTGCAGCGGCCGCTGACGTGGTCACAGGTGGCTCCGTTCTGACACTCACAGCTCCGGCTGCAGTTCTCCCCAAAACCACCCTCAGGGCAGGCTGCCTCCCACACAGGACAGGATACACAGTCATATACTTAAATACAAGTCCGCATTTTATAGCACTCAACATGAAGTGGTCTGCTCTAATGGTAGTCTGGACACAGATATACAGATGTAGGATCTTAATTTGAGCCAGTTTGCTACAGCAGGAAAATAATCCTGCAGCAACATGAAATGTGAATTATGTGATTATAATTAATGGACATTTCTGTAAGGAATGTCAAGTCTTAAATTTCAAAGCGAAAATGTTTAAATCCTCAAACACACTGCAAGTTTTAAATGTCCTGCGCTGCAAGAATGTAATCCTTCAACAGGGTGATCAAATTTAAAACTTAGTGAATTTGAGTTAAAGTTTGGAATTTCCACTTGATTTTCCCTTACGAAAGATGTAAGGGAAAGTAAGATCCTACATCTGTATGTGGTTTATTCAATTCCTTTAGTCATTCATTGTCAAACATATGCATAAGAATGACAAGGGACACGATGGAGCGGTTGACTAAAGCACAAACATATCTGCTCTATGGAAAGATATGGCTTAAATGTACTTGTCTTGTATTTCTTGCTTGAGATATGGCCAAATCCATATGTTTGCGCGTTTGTATAGAGCACATTTATTTGACCTATCTGAACTAGTCGCTAATGATCAATGTCTGAAATGAAATGACATTTGAGTAACGAGAGAGAGATGGGAAACCACCTAACGACAGTAACATGTCATTAAGTCACACAAGTGGGTTTGGGCTGACTCTTGGCTGCGGGTCATCAGGACCACAAAACATGCTTTGGGGAGACCAGGCCCTCTCGAATAAGACTTGAGAATGACATAGTCTGAACTTTAAGAGGGCATTTCACTAGATTCATTAAAACTGCATGAAGACTTTGCGGAGCAGCGGATAGAGACTTTGCATGAGAGTACCGAGGGTAAAACTGATGGTCCTAAAAGAGCTTTGCCAAGTAACTCCTTTAAATGCATCCCTATAAACACGTGAATGTATTTATCCAGAATCTGACCCAATTAACAATGTATGCTGGAGGGGATCCTACCAGCCCCCCTGCACCCCTCCCACCCCTTATGCATCCCTAAAAAAGGAATTGGCAGGGTATCATTAAACAGATAATTGTTCTCGAACACATGGGAGATGGTATTTAGTAAGAGAGGATGCCGTGATGGACTGGTAGAGAGGCTCCCTCACACCCCGTTTTAATGATGTGGCTTCCATACCCAGAATGCAGTGTGGTCCCGACCAACCAGGGGTGCAGAGGCAGGCTCCTGTGATGTGGTTGCACCGGGCACCGTTCCTGCACTCGCACATCTGGCCACAGTCAAGACCGTAAAACCCGTCCGGGCACACTGCAAGCCAAGATAAAACATCCTCTGGTTAGGGACTGGCAGCTTCACACACATACAGAGGGAAGGAAAATGGCTAGGATGCCAACTTTATTCCCTCTCTCTCTCTTCCTGTGTCTTTCTCTGTCTGTGTGTCTCTCTCTCTCTCTCTCTCTCTCTCTCATCTCTCTCTCTCTATCTCTCTCGCTCTATCTTAGCTCTGCTCTCTCTCTCTCTATCTCTCTCTCTCTCTCTCTCTCTCTCTCTCTCTGTCTGATCTCTCTCTCATCTCTGTCTTACCACCTACCAAAAAATACCATTTCAAATTGCAGTACCCTGGTCTAGCTGTTCATTTGTGGAGCGTCTGCATTCGTTAAGTGAGCTCACGTCCCACATGTGAGGAGTGTCCGTGCCACATCAAAGCCGGAGACACAGGGGCCAGGCCGCCCCCCTGAGGGGGTGGGAGAGAGGGGCACACACACCAAGGACTGGTAATTAGAACACCTGCTGAGTCCACAGGCCTGTTGTTAGGGTCTAGGAACCCAGCCCAAAACAAAGCCAGGTTACTGTGAGCGCACGAACACACACACACACACACAGACATATACTGTAGATAGTGTATAGACATATACAGTATATAGTGCATGTAGACACTTGCGCACACACACACACACTCCTGCTACCACTGCTGGTGTTCAGCAATGCCAGTGGCACGGGTCTGTTTTCCATTCACTGAGAGAGAGAGAGCAGAGGGAGGGAGCTGATAGTTGAAGAGCTGATAGTTTAAACTGTCTGTGGAGTCAGTAGACAACACATTGTCAATGGCCCAGAACAGGTCCACCAGTGCTGTTATGGAAAAACCCTATATAAATGTGGGGGGATGTAAAGGGGGCTTTCCCAATGTGCTGTAAACATTGCCTATAAGCTCAACTAAACCGTGAAACAGGCAGGAATGCCCGTGTTTACTTAGTGATTCTCGTTGATTGCTCAATTTGTCACCGAAAAGTGCAAGATCACAGAGCAACAGCCCTAATGACAACACTTACTATCAGTTTGTATGTTAAGAGCAGTTACTACAACACAGGCATAGCATCATTTATGTCTTTGTTTAGATAAAAGCTGCGCTCGCTTGACTGCGTTTCTGATTGATTAACAGATGCAGTAGGACACACCTCCTTTCAGCCCTAGTGGTGTGTGGGAAAGGCTGGCACTGGTTTCGGCACTGGCCGCTGCCCAGTCTGAACATATCTCTTGTTCCAATTGACCCTATGCCAAATAACCCCTCTCATTTACATAGAGCAGTACTACTGTACCTGGCCTTCTATTGGGAAATACATGAGGACAGAGTCCGACTTTTGGCCTCGCCGTGCATTTTTTCTTAGCCTGGTCCCTGATCTGTTTGTGCTGTCTTGCCAACTCCTATGGCCATTGCCACGCCAAACATGATCAAAGCATAGGAGTAGCCAAGACAGTACAAATAGTTCTGGGGATCAGGCTACTTTTTCCCACGCTGCCACTGTAATCTGCCTTTGTGGTGGTTCTACTATAAAGTTATACTGTCTCATTACAGCCTGAGCAGGGAAGACGCTGCCATGGATCCATCTGTGTGTCTGTGGTGATGTGTATCTGTGGTGGTGTGTGTCTGTGGTGGTGTGTGTCTGTGATGATGTGTGTCTGTGGTGCTGTGTGTCTGTGGTGATGTGTGTCTGTGGTGATTTGTGTCTGTGGTGTGGTGTGTCTGTGGTGCTGTGTGTCTGTGGTGCTGTGTGTCTGTGGTGGTGTGTGTCTGTGATGCTGTGTGTCTGTGGTGCTGTGTGTCTGTGGTGGTGTGTGTCTGTGATGCTGTGTGTCTGTGGTGATGTGTGTCTGTGGTGATGTGTGTCTGTGGTGATGTATGTCTGTGGTGCTGTGTGTCTGTGATGATGTGTGTCTGTGGTGCTGTGCAGTGGTGATGTATGTCTGTGGTGCTGTGTGTCTGTGATGATGTGTGTCTGTGGTGCTGTGTGTCTGTGGTGCTGTGTGTCTGTGGTGCTGTGTGTCTGTGGTGCTGTGCAGTGGTGTAGTGCTATTTATTTTAGGTGCTGGAGCGCAAACATGTTTTTCAAAGATGTCATAATTTCTCAATCCAAAGTTTGTACCGACAGATACATTATATTTGTACCAACAATTGCAATATCATTATATAATATGCATAAAATGCACCCTCCTCTAAAAGAATAAAAGCATACCAAAAATACCACATCACTGCACCTATCTGGTGTACATGACAATAAAAACGTCTTATCTTACCTATTTCAAAACAGGCCATCATCACTGTCAATCGTGAATGATAATTATTAAAGTTTTACCGGTGAAATGTCCAAACTCCAAACTTCAAACCTTTACTTAACTAGGCAAGTCTATTAAGAACAAATTCTTATTTTCAATGACGGCCTTCCAAGAGGACAAAACACACATCACGACAAGAGAGACACCACAACACTGCATAAAGAGAGACCTAAGACAACAACACAACATGGCAGCAACACATGACAACACAGCATGGTAGCAACACAACATGACAACAACACGGTAGAAACACAACATGGCAGCAGCACAAATTGGTACAGTAGCAGCACAAACATGGTACAAACATTGTTAGGTACAGCACAAAGGGCAAAAAAGTAGAGACAACAATACATCACTCGAAGCAACCACAAGTGTCAGTAAGAGTGTCTATGATTGAGTCTTTGAATGTAGAGATGGAGAAAAAACTGTCCAGTTTGAGCGTTTCTTTGCACCTCGTTGCCAATCAATCTGCATGCCAATCATTTGATCTCAATCAGTTTCATGGGAATATGCATTTAGATGTTCTTGAATTACTGTTTCGTGAGTGAATTAGAGCGGATGGCGTTACAAACTATTAGCCTTTCTTGTAATTTGTTTCAATCAAAGCATATATCCTACCTAGTGTTGCACGATGTTGGGTTTTGGCTGCATTAGAACAAAAACTGTGACTATTCAGCTACAACGGCTGTAATGGAGCAGGTTGACAGCTTCAAGTTCCTTGGTGTCCACATCACCAACAAACTATCATGGTCCAAACACACCAAGACAGTCGTGAAGAGGGCATAACAAAGCCTATTCCCACTCAGGAGACTGAAAAGATTTGGCATGGGTCCTCAGATCCTCAAAAAGTTCTACAGCTGCACCATTAAGAGCATCTTGACTGGTTGCATCACCGCCTGGTATGGCAACTGCTCGGCCTCCGACCGCAAGGCACTACAGAGAGTAGTGCGTACGGCCCAGTACATCACTGGGGCCAAGCTTCCTGCCATCCAGGACCTCTAGGCCCTAAGAATTGCCAAAGACTCCAGCCACCCTAGTCATAGACTGTTTTCTCTGCTACTGCATGGCAAGCGGTACCGGAGCACCAAGTCTAGGTCCAAAAGGCTTCTTAACAGCTTCTACCCCCAAGCCATAAGACTCCTGAACAGCTAATCACATGGCTACCCCGACTATTTTGCTGCTGATACTCTCTGTTTATTATCTATGCATAGTCACTTTACCTCTAACCACATGTACATATTACCTCAATTACCTCGACTAACCTGTGCCCCCGCACATTGACTCTGTACCGGTTAATCCCTGTATATAGCCTCGCTTTTTTTATTTTTACTTATCTATTTTTTACTTAACACTTATTTTTCTTAAAACTACATTGTTGGTTAAGGGCTTGTAAGTAAGCATTTCACTGTAAGGTCTACACCTGTTGTATTCGGCGCATGTGACAAATAACATTTGGCTTGGCACCTAAAACCCTCACAAACATTTACAGATGCACAATTGAGAGCATCCTGTCGGGCTGTATCACTGACTGGTACGCCAACTGCACTGCCCGCAACCACAGGGCTCTCCAGAGGGTGGTGCGGTCTGCCCAACGACCTGCCCTCCAGGACACCAACAGCACCCGATGTCACAGGAAGGCCAAAAAGATCATCAAGGACAACAACCACCCGAGCCACTGCCTGTTCACCCCGCTATCATCCAGAAGGTGAGGTCCGTACAGGTGCATCAAAGCTGGGACCGAGAGACTGAAAAACAGCTTCTATCTCAAGGCCATCAGACTGTTAAATAGCCATCACTAGGTGACTTCCACCCGGTTACGTAACCCTGCACCTTAGAGGCTGATGCCCCATATACATAGACTTGAAATCACTGGCCACTTTAATAATGTTTACATATTTTTGCTTTACTCATCTCATATGTATATACTGTATTCTATTCTACTGTATTTTAGTCTATGCCACTCCGACATTGCTCTTCCTAATATTTCTATATTCCTTAATTCCATTCTTTTACTTTTAGGTTGTGTGTATAGTGTGTATTGTTGTGAATTGTTAGATATACTGCACTGTTGGAGCTGGAAACACAAGCATTTCGCTACACCCGCAATAACATCTGCTAAACATGTGTATGTGACAATGTTTTTTTGATTTGATCTTGCAAGACAGGCTACACTCGGACAGGGCGAGTTCATTAAATGTGTCGTACATGAGCCCCAAGTCCATAACAAACTGTTTTGAGAACAGACGTTTTAGCAACACCTCATAGAGTTTTTGGCTGTTCTTGTTAGGGAGTGAACGTTATGTATAATAAGGGTTACATGGATAAAATAGGACCTCTCTGAAATGAAAATGGATGGCCCTCCCTTCAGCAAAATACAGTGGGGAAAAAAAGTATTTAGTCAGCCATCAATTGTGCAAGTTCTCCCACTTAAAAAGATGAGAGAGGCCTGTAATTTTCATCATAGGTACACATCAATTATGACAGACAAATTGAGGAAAAAATTCCAGAAAATCACATTGTAGGATTTTTAATGAATTTATTTGCAAATTATGGTGGAAAATAAGTATTTGGTCACCTACAAACAAGCAAGATTTTTGGCTCTCACAGACCTGTAACTTCTTCTTTAAGAGGGTCCTCTGTCCTCCACTCGTTACCTGT